CGTTTCAGTTATAGTGGTACCATCTGCATTTGTTAATATCTCGATTGGTTTGTTACGATTTCCTGAAATCATCAAGGATCATCATCAATCATCATCAATTGAAAGCTTCAAGAAGCTTTATAGGATATTGTGGAAGGTATTTTGGTCAACAGAAATAACATTAATAATTAGATATGCGGACGATACGGTCATATTTGCAAGTGACATGGAAGATCTACAGTACATAATACAACATGTATACAATGCATGTGAAAGGTACGGACCGCAAATGAATCTTAAGAAAACGAAATCAATGATATTTTCAAAAAAACCACAAAATGTAGATAACCTGATCATCAATAATACAACGATCGAAAGAGTAACAACATATAAATATTTAGGAACCTGGCTAACCGAAGATGGAGATCAAACAAAAGAAATCAGATCTAGAATAGAAATGACAAGAAACACGTTCATAAAATTGAAGAACTTACTTTGCAATCGTGACCTTAATCTAGAGATCCGCACAAGAATGCTACGTTGTTACGTTTTTTCTACTCTGAAATCAAAAAATTAAACTCCTTTGAGATGTGGTGCTACAGGAGAATCCACAGAATATCGTAGACTGAAAAAGTAACTAATATAGAGGTGTTACAAAGAATGAAGAAAGAATGTGAAGTCAGAAAAACTGTTAAAATTAGAAAGATGCAATATCTGGACCATATAATGAGGGGCGCGAAGTACGTTTTACTTAGGTCAATTATGCAAGGGAAGATACAAGGGAAGAGAAACCCAGAACGACGCAAAATATCCTGGCTAATTTGAGAGAGTGGTTTGGTTGCAGCTCATTAGAATTATTCAGAAACGCGACCAATAAAATAAAATAGCGATGATGATTTCCAACCTCCGATAGGAGAAGAAACCTGAAGAAGAAGGTGTACTTTTTAGCTCGAATAGTTTAAGTATGTGGCTCAACCAAACAATCACATTATTAGTATCTTAGTAATTTAGTGATCAGAAAAAAGATATTGTATATTTCGCATACTTCTTTGTGATCTGATATGCAGATTTCCTTTTTTATTTTTGATAAGTTTGTTTTACTGAAGGGGCCTATAATTTTTTTTTAACGGAAATTGAAAGGAAGTTTTATTTCAGTCACATATTTCGATATATTATTTCAAATTTATATTATTGTCTAGCAACAATATAAGGTTATTGTCAGTTTACGCAACTTTTTTAAGGTCGCATTAATCTTTACCACTCTATATAGCATATATAGTATAGTCGTAAAAAATAATCTTATTTTTCCGTTATTTTACAACTCCGTCATCACGAGTATGGTAAAGAATTACCATAATTATCTGCTGAAATACGCTTGCAAGCAATTATTTTTGTTTTGTTAAAGAATATGCGTATAGTCTCGGTTATAAAGCAACTTATAACTAGTAAGTTATGTGTTTCCTCTTCTTTATATCGGTGCATTTAATATACCAAACTATTATATACCGCTGCTAAAATTGAAAGTGTGGTTTAAAAAGACCTTAATAAGGATACTGTGAAATATTATTTACATTTGATTATATTTCCAACCTTAATAATGGTTTAAAAGAATAGCTTTTGCATCTCAGATCTTAAATTATGTCTCTAATATATGCTATACTATATGAGCAATATGACACAATAAATATGAAAACTATGTTGACTGAGCTAAGTTATCTTTGCAATGGATTAACTGTGTTGAAAACAAAAACATGCAATTAATTTAGGAATTTCAATATGCAAAAATTTATTGTTGATTTAATCTATTTCAATTTAAGCATGCTTAAAATAGAGACTGTACAAAAATATTAATTAACATTAAATACTATGAAAATAATAATGAAATATGTACTGTTGGTAATAAAATATTTTATGTACTAAATTCTTTAAATGTAACTATATTAAGAGTCCTGGATTTTTATATAAACTTTCTTAATTTAAAATTAACATCATTGGAATTGTCTTATAATATATAAGGAGAATGTACTGACAATATTTCAAATAATTTATAATTTAGAATAACTGGATGATGGTCTCGGCACCAGCCGAATCTTGAATAAAATAGGGCCTAATTCTTCTTCTTATGGTGCCCTATTCAATTAGTGGATGTTGGCGACAATTCTGGCATACTCTTCTCGATCTTATGTGGCTCCAAAGAGTGCGTGTGCATCGAGGTTTGTCCAATCCCTTATGTTTTTAAGCCATGAGTATTTCTTTCTTCCGATGCCCCGTTTTTCTTCTATCTTCCCTTTTATAATAAGCTTTAAGAACTGGTACTTGAAATTTCGAAATATATGACCCAGATAAGCAGTTTTCTTCTTTTTATTATTGGCAGCAATTCTCGTTATCTGCCCATTCGATTTAATAATTCGACATTTGTTGTGTGATCTGTCCAGAGAATTTTAAGTAGTCTTCTAAATACCTTTATTTCAAATGCCTCCAATCGGTTCATCACATTGGCCTTTATGGTCCAGGTTTCTACTCCATATAACAGTATGGAGTAAATGTAACATTTTACAAAGCGATATCGAAGCATTAAGTTAAGGCTGCTGTTGCTTAGCAAGGTTCTCATATTAGTAAATGCTGTTCTGGCTTGCTCAATCCTGCTACGTATCTCTATGTCTGGATCTAGACCTTCAGTTATCCAACGACCAAGATATCTGAACTTTGGATGTTCTTATTGTTTACTCTTATATTTAATTGCATATTTCGTGTTCTACTAACCACCATTACCTTCGTCTTGTCTATATTAATCTTCAAGCCCAGTCGTTCTCTTTCAGTGTTTATTCTATCTATTAGTCGTTGTAGCGCTTCTTGGCTATCAGATATTATGACTGTATTATCAGCATAGCGAAGATTACTAATAGTCTGTCCGTTGATTTTGATTCCATCTTCAGTGTCACTTAAGGCTCTATCAAAAATTGTTTCAGAGTAAAGACTAAAAAGGAGGAGTGACAGAACACAACCCTGTCGTACACCTTTTTCGATTGAAAAATATGATGTAGATTCCAGCCCTACTCTCACAGATGCCACTTGATGCAGGTAAAGGTTCTTTATGATTTTAAAGTCATTCTCATCTATCGAACGTTCCTGGAGCAATCTTACTAATTCTGAATGATTAACACAATCGAACGCTTTCTGGTCATCTATAAAGCATATTAAGACATATTTTTGCTGATCTCTGCATTTATGAAGTAGGACAGTTAAGCTATAACTGCTTCTCTTGTGCCAAATCCGTGTCTGAAACCGAACTGTGTGGGATTAATGTTGTTAAAACTTTAGACTTAAATATTAAAACTTTCGAGCAACCCCGTATACTAAACCTCAAGTTAAGTACACCCCTCGAGAGGGGATGCAAGTAGCGGAGGAGAAGTCAGTCACAGTCCACGCTCAACTCGAGTCGCAACAACATCATTACGCCAAGGACGCTATTTTTACATTGATCGTTTACAAATATTTTACATGTGCCCTTTTTACTTCAATATAGTTTAGTTTAAGTGATTTGTTTTTTTTTGTATGTTTACGTGAAATTCTAATAAGATTTAACCTACATCCTACACAAATGTCTCTTTCACATCTGTTGTATATTCTTGTTTGAATTATCTTTAAGAAGAGTTGGTCGCAACTATTAGCGTTTGGCTTTTTTGGGATTGGTATAAAGGTTGATTGAACTAAATCCTGTGGTATTTGACCGGACCCATAAATGTCATTAAAAAGATCTACCAAGGCGTCTGTATTGTCTTCACTCAACATTGATAGAACCTCTATGTATATGTCGTCTGGGCATGGTGCTTTTCCCCATTTTCTCTGTTTGATTGCTCTTACAACTTCTGACTTCAATATTTTGGGGAAGGTTTCACTTTTATATTCACTTTCAGAGTATCTTCTAGTGTTGTCTGAGTATAGTTGCTATGTGTAGTGTCTCCAATATTGAAGTAGATCCTTGGGATCAGTAATTAATTTATTGTCCTTCACAATACTGTTAAAATTGCAAGGTTTTGTATGACCTGCCACATTGTTAACGAGTTTATGTATGTTAAAGTAGTTATGTTTTTCTTCCAATTCCTCCATTTCTGCACACCTGTCTAGCAGCGACTGTTCTTTAGCTTTGCGACACTCTTTTCGTATTTGTTGGTTAATCTGCTGATGTTTGGTTCGGTCTTTGTTTTTAAAGGATCTGCGGTCGTCCATCATTGATAATATTTCGTCAGAGTTATCCAATTCTTCTTTTTGTACTTGGGAAGCGATCTGAGACTTGGTAGTGGTTACGATAGCTTTTTTAATACAATTTCATTTGTCTCCTATACTGGTCGGTTGTTTAGATCTTGCCGTGATATCCGCTATTGCCTCACCGCTATTCCACTAAGGCAGCCATTCTGGGCGTCTATTATATTTATTATATACGTCTGATCTACCATACATACGACTCTGTGCCCAGACAACGACTGTGGGAAGCCATGTAACAAATAGGAGTAGAAGATAAGCTGATCCATGTAGTGAAGTCCATGTACACACATAATAATGTTACAGTCAAGGTAAGTAACAAGTTTGGAAAACCATTTAAAACCACTAAAGGTCTCCTACAGGGCTGCGCGACGTCACCTACACTCTTTAAAATACTTCTTTAATACGCCCTAAAGAGATGGAAAAGAAAATGTGAGGAAATGGGAGTACCCATAAGAAACGACCATATGTATACCCTCAGTTTCGCCGACGATCAGGTCATAATAGCACAAGACGAGGAAGATCTAAGTTATATGGTTCGAAAACTAGAAGAAGAATATAATAAAAATGGTCTGGAAATAAACATTAACAAAACAGAATATCTAAACACAACACAAGAACCAACAAGAAACCTGGAAGTGGATGACGGGCGTGAAATAAAGGGGACCGATAAATTTAAATACCTGTGGTTCATGATATCAAATAAAGGTACTACAAAAGAAGAAATTAAAAATCGACTGGGTCCATCCAGAAACTCTATAAGACAACTGAATCCAATCCTATGAGACGGACACATAACAAAAAAAAAACCAAAAAAAAAATTGATAACACAATGATTCGCAGCATTCTAACATATGGAGCAGACAATTGGGTATTGAACAAAATCAGCAGAAACAAAATAAACACCACAGAAATGGACTACTGGAGAAGAAGTTGCAGAGTTTCCAGAATGGAAAAAATAACTAACGACGAAATCAAAAGACGAATAGAAATAAAGAAAGACACCTTAAATTACATTGAAGAAAAAAGATTAACGTGGTACGGACATGTCAGACGAACAGACCCAAACCGATGGATAGCAAAAATAACAGAGTGGAGCCCCATAGGAAAACGCAAAAGGGGCAGACCAAGATCTTTCAGAGATCTATAGTAGATGAAGCCATGGAAAGAAGAGGATTGGAAGACGGAGAATGGGAGGACAAAGGAGAATGAAGAAAATGGTTGAGAGAAGGGAGACAGCGACAGCTGTATGATGTAGGAACCCCTTTCATATATATATATATATATATATATATATATATATATATATATATTATATATATATATATATATATATTATATATATATATATATATATATATATAAGATGGCGAGGTCACCTAGAAAGGATGCCAAACACGAGGACTCCAAAAAGGGTACTAAACTACAATATAACTTCAAAAAAGAGAAAAGGAAGGCCAAAAAATAGATGGAATCAGGAGGTAGAAAAAGATATGGAAGAAATTGGACTAGACGGCCAGAAAAGAAAAATGAATAACAAGAAGGAATGGAGAAAAGTCACATATCGAGCCAGAGAAGATCTCAGTACATAAAGGAAAGCGAAAATGAAGAAAGAACAAAATTCTTTAAGCCATGGGCCTCTAAGGCCTTTAGTGCTATTGTATATATATATATATATATATATATATATATATATATATATATATATATAATTGAAAAAAAATCTAAGCTGCAATAAATGCTGAAGTGTTTGATGTGATTCTAATAATTGATATTACAAACGATTTTCTCCCGTCATTACCAAAGTTCCCAGATGCGCTAACATGACGCTGACGTTTGTACAATATCCAATTTAACATTTTCCCACATTTCGTTTAGATATTATTTCATGACCATACTAAAAACAAACTCCTCCCTCAGAATCGCTCCTCGGGCGAAAATATTTAGTGACGCATTTGAGATACTAAATGTCAATACGGAAAGATATACAATAAATCAAACCTAACTATAGTGTAATTTGATCGAAGACAGTTGTACGATTCGTACTGGGCACTCGAATTTATGTACCAAGCTAGAAATTATATAATATCCTCATGTCCGATGTGGCCAGATAAAATCTCGTTATTTGAGTTTTAACCTTCGTACGCTTCATTCACAGAGGAATGCAACTTTTTCGAATTTAGGCTCCGAAATAAGAATTTAAAAGGCTAAAAAATGATTTATTGGTACCTATCAAGATAAATATTTAACAAGGTGATCAATTAATAATAGATAACTCAAATAATAAATAGTTTATTTTATTTATCGGATGAATACCAAGGATTTAGAATGACTATTATTAACAATAAGATATCAATAATTAGCTAAAATAATTTGTTATTACTAAATTCCTGTTACAAAGAGAATAAAATAGCCATTTCGAATAAAAACAAATTAATAGAAAACAAAATAGTGTACAAAAGCAGACAAAGGTAACACTAATATTGCTATAGATAAAATAGAATATAATAACAAACCAAAAGAATTTTTAAATAATCAAAATATTAAAACGTTACCCAAAAATCCGACAGAAAAGTATCAAAACAAATTACGCTAACGTTAGAAAATTCAAAATCAATACTAAATCCAACAAAACAGAAATACCTCAATATCATGAACCCATAGCCTCTTAAATTATACTCTTTTATTAAATTACACAAACCGGATCACGCATTAAGACCAACCATCTTTTTATACAGCTCCGTCATATAAACTTAAAACTAAAACTGTTACAGATTAGTATAGAACACACTACATTTTCACCTAAATTTACCATAAAAATGCAATAGAAATAGTTAATAAAATACATTTTCAATTACCTAACAACTCCAGATTAATTTCATTTGATGTAAAAAATCTTTTTCCTAGTGTTTCTCCTACAGAAACTTTTATACTAGTAAAAAACCTCTTAGACCAAAATAGTACAAACCGAATCATTACATCTTCTTGAAATTTACATGAAACTGACTACTTTGAATTTAATAATCAAATATATACAAATAACAGTGCAGGACTTCTAATGGGCAATCCTCTAAGCCCATTACTATCAGCTATTTTTATGGATCATCTAGAGATAAAGATTTCAAAACATCCCATATTCAAACAGTTTTTATATTGGTGAAGATACGTAGACGACGTACTGGTATGTTTCACAGGAACTAACAGGCAACTCGAGCAATTTTTATCGTATATTCATTCACTTCATAGTCATATTGAATTTACAATAGAAACAGGACAAAATCAATTCATAAATTTCTTAGATTTAAAAATTATCAGACTTAACAACAAACATGAGTTCTGACCTCTGAAGACTTCAGTCTTTTTTTATTTATTAAAACTTTAACAGGAATCTTATGATTATTGCTATCTAATCACTATGATCAATAAGCAAGTTAGTTCTATATACAAAATATTACAAAAAACTTATCTAAGGTTACATTCAGCTATATTCCTTAGGCTCTAATACATTATAGTACTACTAGCTAACGTGTACACTTTGCCGCACTTTGCTCTGCTTTTTCACTTTCACTCACTTATAGCAATAACTCAAACGGCTTCGTTCTCTTAAGTCTTCGTATATGGTTGGCGTTGTCTAGGAGTTTGATGGCCTCGACATTCACGTGGTTGGACAGCCTTTGTTCATGACTCTGAACAGAAAGATCACAGTTTCTGAAGTACCATGGAGCGTTAACGATGTTCTTTGATAATTTATTCTAATATCGTTGTATAATTTGGATGTTATTTTCTTTTGTACAGCCCCATAGCTGTATCCCATATGTCCATATCGGTTTAAGTACTTTCTTATACAATAACAATATGTTATACGTAGACAGAATGGATTTTTTCTCATCAACCAGTACATCTTTCTGAACTTAATTTCTTAATTCCTCTTTTTTTTTCTTAATATTATGTGCTTTCCAACATAGCTTTACATCTAATGTAATACCTAAATATTTTGCCGTATTTGCATAAGGTATTTGGATTCTATTTATACTAACTGGAATATGTTGTTCTCTTTTGTTAATAAAATTGACATGAGCAGATTTTGTTTCATTCAATTTGATAGGACATCGCATGGTCCAGATGTTAATTTGTTCAAAAGAGTTCTGTAGCATGGTTGTTGCATGCTCGTGTTTTTGTCTGACTGGTAGAATACATGTGTCGTCTGCAAATGTCGCAATTGTGTTAGGTTTAGTACTGGCTCCAGGACACTTCCTTGTGGAACTCCAGCTTTAACTTCTCTTAATTCTGAATATGCTTCCTCATATTTAACTCGAAAGTATTTGTCGGATATATATGATTCTAGTAGTTCAGAATATTGTTTTGGTAAGTTGAATCTCTTTTTATTATATAATCCGTCATGGCACTCTTTGTCAAAAGCTTGCGTTACATCGAGGAAAATGGCGAAACAGTATTTTCTTTCTTCTAGAGTTTTTACTATATTTGTTATTGTATGCACCCGATCTTTCATTGAGTGGCTTGCTCTAAGCCTAATCTTATAATTAGGAATTAGATTTTTTTTTCCTCTATAATCGGTTTTAGTCTCTTCAAGAGTAATTTTTCGTATAATTTAGACATGACCGCTAACAGTGAAATAGGCCTATATGAAGAAGCTTCTTGTGGAGGTTTTCTTGGTTTTAATGTCATTATAATTTCAGCCACCTTCCATGTCTTTGGTACGTACCTCAGCCTAAAGGAATCGTTTATAAGGTTTGTTAATTTTATTATAGCTTTTCTTGGAAGTTGCTTGTCATTTGGTAGCCTTGCACAATGAGTAATCAGTAGCGCTATCATTAGATAGTTGACTTGGGTAGATGCTAACCGATTCGTTTTTAATTTTTTAAATTTCTCTTTTATAATTCTTGTGTGGCATTATTTAATCTAGTTTCGTCAACTGCTGCTCTAGACTGATGCCACTTGCGTCTTAGTTTTCTTTTTTCGGTTATCATTGCTCTGATTTCTTTCGGGTAGTTATTTCCTTTTATTCTTTCGACACTGTTCGTGCTGTTGTTCCAAGCAGCTTGTTGTACATTTTTATTGAGTAATTCTACTTCTGCCTCTAGTTTATCAAGGGTTCTTAATGGAACTGAGAGGTTAATCTTCTCTTCAAGGTCTATCTGGAAACTTTTCCAGGCAGTATTTTTGTTAAAAAGTCTAGGGGGCTTTTTTTTGATAACAGTGTCACTGAGTGCGAGAATAATTGGAGAAAGTCGATAAGGTCTGGGATTTTCTTTGCATTATATTTTGATATTATTTTATTGAAATTTAAACAAAATGAATCCAGAGGACTATTTTTATGACCGATGTAGTACACCGTATGGGACTACTGATACACAAAATTAAACTGCGTCTACTGAAAGATTAACGAAATATATAGATTAGAAAATTTGGTGTATATTTATTTATTGTGTAGAGTGGTTGTATAATTGATGTAAGTATTGTGTATATTCAATTTATTTTTTAAAAAACAAATACAGTCAAAACAGGAAAAAACACTACCAATCTACAAGGAAAATAACAGACACATAAACATCAATAAAAGAGGAATAGTTTTTTTCGTGTTCACATTTTAAACAAGTGTTTTCTTGCAATATTACAAATAAAAATCTTGAAAAGTGTAACTGTTAAAAAGAAAAAGTTAGCCGTTTTTGAAATCAGATAATCAAGAACATTTAATTCCAGTTCTTACTTTTTCGGCACCAAAATGACATGGTTTCTGGGCTGTGTAATTATGTGAATGACTTTTGTACTACTCATACGAAGGATTCTGATCAAAATAAATCCATGTTCATGTAAAGAGGCAACATTTTTCTTGACTACTGAGTTTTACATCAACATATGCAACTTATACCAAGTTTGTAATGTTCATTTGATGTTTTTAAATTATAAACTCATTATATGCATAACAAAGAGTGTTAGGACAGTTTTTATACTTTTATAAAACGGTTATTTTAGATCGTACTTCACCAGTGTCTATAATTTAAGATTAAACTTGATATAATCCTCTTAAATCTCATAATTGTTATTTTAAAGCATCTCCCTGTCACAAATAAACCCGTAATTTTTCGGTATACGAAAAAAGTTGACTTAACTTTCAAGTTGAAA